ATTCTTTATTCCCAATGGTTTTGAAATACCATCTTCGTAACGCTGGGCTAATGTCTGGCGCTTAGACATGTCTGCGTTTTGCCAGTTAATATTATTTCTTTGGAATGTGTCAGGAAGCTCTGCTCTGAGACCATTTCCAAAGCTTGTGGCCAGAGCTGCGGCTGTTTGGAAGGTCAGTTCCAGCCCCGAGAGCTCCTTCCTGTTGTTTCTAATTGATGGTGATCATTAGACACATTTCATCTTTGTTTTTAATTTTGAATCCATGACCAATCAATTTTGGTGAGAGAGACCTAAAGAATGGCTTCTAGTCATTTTTCTTTTTTTCCTTATTTCCCTCATTTTCTAATGGGAGTTAGACGTAGTCTGATACCCTTGAGGGTCTTAAGGTATGGTGTTCCTTTGACCTTTCCAAACCGAAGGGACGCATCCCCAAGGCCAAACCATAGGTGGAGAAGTTGATCTAAATCAGGGAATCTGGAGAGCATGCTCCCAGAACAATCCTAGAGTATCTAATAAATCTTTTCCTTTTCTTTCAGGAGTCAGGAAAGTCCTCGATGGTGACCTGTTAATTCTGACTGAGACCAGGGTTTAAATGGCATCTCTTCTATCAGCCTGGCTTGAGAACGGGTAGGGGTCACACCCTGGGCTTCATCTGCAAGAAATGGGGGTCTGGTGCACCTTCCAGTTGCAGGGAGTTGAGGGGCTGGGCGTGGTGTTGGTGAAGGACATTTTGGGAGAGAGAGATGGATATGAAGGAGAACTGCGAGGGGAAAATGGGGTGCTATGAAGGGTTCTAGGGGGTTTACTGAGTCAGAACAGTTTCTCTGAAGACATTGTTTAAGAACTTCTATAGTTTGAATGAGGTTTGAATCATTTAGTTGCTTTTTGGTTTCTTCATACCGAGTGAACAAAGCAGAGCATTGTGCATCAGAGAATTTTGTTCCTTTTGGCCCGAGGGCTCCCCTTAGGTGGACTAATTTGGGCATATCCCAAGAGCCCCCCAAAGGGCCCACTGTAAAGAGAGTTTTTAGTAAAGTTTTGCTAATGAGAAAGAAAGTGGACAGCATTTGGCCTTAGAAGGATATAGTCAGCAGGAGTTTGAGGAGAGCTTTCAGTGGGTTGAAAAGCTCCCATGTTCTTGACTAACAGTACCTTTATACTTATGAATAGAAATATCTGGGACTCTAACCCAGCCTCTGTTCCTTACAGAGACTAGCCTCTTTGAATCAGAAAAGCCTAAGACTCACCTGGCCTCTGTTTACCCAGGACTCTAACACAGCTTCTTAAAAACAGCTGCTTGCTTGGGGCTCTGACCCAGCTTCTAGAGTATACTCAGAATCCTAAGGATCGAAATCCTCACTGTGTTTCAGGGGACATTTATTCAGAGCAATGGGCTCTGGAGTCGGATTCATCATCGGATACCCAAGCCCCAGCAAAGAGACTGGAGACAGAAGGTCTAGGTGCACACCGCGAAGCCTGGTTGTCATGTCGGTGAGTCCGATGGTGGTTCCGGTTCAGCTCTGGGTCTCAGCACCAAAAACCATTAAGGAGAAACAGAGTCAGAGAGAAGTTAAAGCAGTGAGGATAGATTTTACCGAAAACAAACAAACAAACAAACCCCACCAAAAAACAAAACAAAAACCCCCCCCAAACCCACACAAACTATTGCAATAGAGAAAGAGACTCCAGTAGAGACCTGGGCTCAATTCCCAATACAACCAGAGCAAGGGGGAATTTATAGCCAAGGAGCCGGCTAGGGGGTGGGGTGGGGGAGGCAGGCCAGGGCAGTTGGGTATCACCTGGGGGGAAGTGGGGATGGGGAGTTTGATCAGATTTATCAGGGGTGGGGATTTCTCGCTAAATTGATTTAGCAGGTTTCTTGCTAAAACTAGATTCTAGCAGCAAGTACGCAGAGGGGCCTCAGCTCTTCAGGGAAAAGGCTGGGACAATTTTATCCATTTCCACTACCTTTTCTGTGGGACCCCTCATTTGAGAAAGGGATTTCTAAATTTTTTTTAAAAATGGAAGTGTAGTTGACAACACAGTGTTATATTAGCCTAGGGTGTACAGCACAGGGATTCAACAATTCCATGCATTCACTGGTGCTCACTGTGATGAGCAGGGTAGACGACTTTTTTTTAATTTTTTATTTTATTTTATTTATTTTATTATTTTTTTTAGCGGGGTAGACTTCTAAAGTTTTTGTTTGTTTGTTTGTTTGTTTTTTAATTTATTTATTTTGAGAGAGAGAGAGAGAGCATGAGAGGGGGAGGGTCAGAGGGAGAAGCAGACTCCCTGCTGAGCAGGGAGCTCGATGCGGGACTCGATCCCGGGACTCCAGGATCATGACCTGAGCCGAAGGCAGTCGCTTAACCAACTGAGCCACCCAGGCGCCCGACTTCTAAAGTTTTTACTCTGAAATGCATACTGGGTGTCAGAAACGGACAACAGGCTCGTCTTGGCTTAACTGAACACACTGCAATATTTCACGATATTTAGCGCCAGTTGGTCAATTTAAAAAGAAGGATTTGAGGGGTGCCTGGCTGGCTCAGTCCGTAGAGCCTGGGACTCAGGGTTGTTAGTTCCAGCCCCACGTTGCGTGTAGAGATTACTTTAAAAAAAAAAAAAATCTTAAAAAAAAAAAAGAAGAGTTTGAGTTTAGGAGGTTTCTAGTCAAGAGAGGGACCCAGGAACCATGAGTAACGCTCTTAGAGGCCTGTGGTCAGCTTGGTAATTATTTTCTCTCTGTTAGAGGTTCCTCTTCTGGGGTAAATCCTACTTAAAGAGGAGGCATCCCTCGTGACCTGAAGTTGAAGCTCCCAATATTTGGGTTCTGGCCCCTGCAGGCACCTCTGGGCTCCCAGGTGGGCTTGTACACCCATCCATCACGGGGGTCTGTGGCTCTGGGGGTCTGGCCAGCACCCAAGGCCTCAGGGTACTGGCAGGACAGCTGCTGTGGGTCCTAGCCTTCAGCCACCCTGCATTAAACCTTACCCAGTTTCGCTAATGTCATTTCATCTAGAACCTCCCCCAACCCCGCCCCTCTTGTTTTCTTGGAGCCTTTTTGAATCAAAGCCCAGCTTCGCTCTGAGCCCCTGAAGTGTTGTGAGGGGTTGTAGAAACAGGTGGGGATTAGAAGCAGGCCTGGAGAGGGGGAGGGGGCCTGCCTTACAGGACAATCTGGAGCAAATTGTTTGCCCTCTTTGGGTTTGCCTCTTCATTGGTAAAAGGAGGGTTCTGGCTCAGGTAGGGGCCGAGGTCCCTCATAAAGGCCAGGCGCTGTGGGTTGGAACCAGGCCCAGGGCCCCCACCCCCATCCTTGGCTGCCACCCACCCACCCACCCCACCCCCATGGGCCCCTCAGGCTCCTGGTACCAAGACAAGGAATAAACAAACAAGCCTAGGGAATGTCCCTCTTCATTGGAAACAAAGCTGGGGTGGTCTGGAGAGGCGTGTGGAGAGTCAAGAGTGCCAGGTGGAAAGGTGCCAAGGCGGCCTCGGAGATCACTTCCCTGCCTTGCCGGGAACATCTGAGGACACCCGGGCCACAAGTGTGGATTTTGTGCTCTCTTTGGTGTGATAAAATCCCCATCAGGAGCATCTCTCTCTTCCGAGCCAAGCCTGCCAAGGGGTGGACCCCGGCCTGTGCTGGGCTTGTCTTCTGTCTTCTGATCACATCTCCTCTTATGGAAGAGCCCCAGCTGCTTCTGCTCTGTCAGCGGAGCGCTGGGGAACGGGCGGCCTGGCTCCGGCTGCACACTCAGGGTCTGGGCTCCCGCCAGGCCCCCGCCGCCCAGCCTGCCCAGCCTGCCCAGCCTGCCCAGCCTGCCCAGCCTCCCCCCTCAGCAACTCTCCGGCTTCCTTCCTCTGTCACCACCTGCCATTCCCCACTGATGAGCCCCTTATTGATCTTGGCCCATTTCTTAAAGTTGCCGCACTGTAATTCCATCCGGGCCACATCCTCCGCTGGGACTGGCCTGGCCAGTCCGCCTAGGTCTGTTCATGGTGGTGCTGCCCTCCTGGGGAGAGCCAGTGCCCCTGATGAGGAAAATCGGGTGGTCTGGGCCGACAGAGCGGGCCTTGGTGGAGGCTGGCTTCCCTGCTGAGGTTGGAACCTGCAGGAGATTGGGTGACGTTTTCTTGAGTCGGGGATGGGGATCCTTCTCTGCACGCCCTGCCTGCCCCCCCCGCCCCCGTCCCCAAGCATCCCGACACGGAGCTGGTGGCCCTCAGTGCTGGCTGCACGGCACATTTGCTGTGTTCCTTGCATGCTAGGAAGGAGGCCAGGCTTCCTTTCCCTTTCCAGCGTGACCTCAAAATCCATAGGCACCGCCGACTGCCCGGTTGGAGTTGAATCAGCAGATGTGTGCAGTGGGGCTGGGGAACAAGGTACAAACGTGATTTCCTGTGTCTTTGGGCGGTGACTGGGAGCTTGCCTCGGAGAGCGCAGAGGTGCGGGAAGCAGAAGTGGGAGCCAGAGTGACAGGTCCCCTTTCCTCAGGCCTGGGGTGAGGCGGGGGATGGCTGTCCTGACCGGGAGCCCCAGGGCAGGACTGAGGTCAGGGTGGACCAGAGAGAGAAGGCATTTAAACTGTTCTGCACAAGTGGAATACTCATTCCTCCCCGGTTTACTTTTCAGGGGGGGTTACTGGGAGGACAGATGAGATGGTTCTAGAAAGTGCTCTGGACGTGTTACAGCAGTGTCAGGTCTGAATGTCTGTGCTTACACCGATGAGGAGTCGGGGTTCCCCCCCACCCCCGCCACAGGCCCTGCCCTGGGCTAGGTGTGGTCTGTGCCACTTGTCTGGGGTGCAGGCCTGGCAGGCCGGTGACCCCACCGTCATTTTGCTGAGGCACCATTAATGCCACTCAAGGCCTCAGAAGCCATAACGGGGACTCCCAAGAGTCCCCCCCCTCCCCCCACTGTGAGGTATGCGGGAGAAGGTGCGGGCAGAGGACAGTCATCTTGTTACCTAGCTGAACAGCAGTCCCAAACAAAATCCAAAATTAAAACCACAATTTTTATTTGAACATAATTGAAACCTGTAACATAAAAATATCTTTCTGTCACTAGAGATGCAGATGACAACTGAACGGGACTGGTCTTTTGCTCTGGTGAAGGCCTGAGGCACCCCCTGGCCCGTCCTCCGAGCCCCGCTCAGAATGCCCTTGGCAGGCGGCTGGAGGCGGAGGAAAGAGAAGTGGGGGGAAGGCCTTGCCTCTCCGCCTCTTTGGGAAAGCCGATGAGGAGCCAGAGGTCACAGAGCATTGGAGGGCTGCCTTAGAGCCGCCACCAGCCAGGCCAAAATGAAACATCTGCTCCCGGCTCCCCAGGCACATGGCTGGGTGTGAGTGGGAGGCAGGGGTGGAGAAAACTGAGGCAGAAGCACAAATGAGCACTCTGCACCTTGGCCCTGAGATGGCCTCTGTTGGCACTGGAGGGGGAGACCAAAAATAAATAAATAAAAGCGATGCGCTTCAGGGAGGGAGGGTGACAGACCCATTAAAACACCGTATGTCCAGCGCGAGTGGGGAAGAGCCAGGGCATGAGGGTTTAAAGAACCCTGATGGAGGCCAATGGCCTCCAAATGCAAATAGCTGATGGGGGGAGGGTGTGGGGGAGGGGCAGTTTGTTGGAGGGGCTACAGTGGGGGTGCTGGCTGAGTCTGGGTGGGCTCGCTGGGGTGACCCTGACTTTTTTTTGTGTGTGGCATGACCACAGACCACAGATCTAGAAGTAGGAAGCCCAGGCTGCCCTCTACTGGTGATTCCTGACAATGACCACACACCGCAGGGCCGGACCTGCAACCCAAACCCGCCAGGAGCGAACCAGCCTGAACCAGCCCCCAGGGAGGACGGGCAGTGGCTGCGCTCCAGACCAGGCCTCCCAGTGCACTGGGAGGCTAAGAGCCTCCCCAGGGCTTGGGGCAGGCTTCTCCATCTCTGCCTCGCCTGCAGAGGGGCCTGGGCTGAGAGTCTCTGGTGCTCACTTCAAAGGCATCGAGAAGAACTTGTTCCCGGACTTGCAGCGGACCAGCTCGGCATGCGCGCGCAGCACCATCTCGGGGTCTTCAAACTCATCCACGATGTTCTTCCACCGGGAGCCGAGAAAGGACAGTCACATTAGGGGAATCAGGGACCCAGAGGGCGCTGCGAACAAGACCAGCCTACTAAAATCCTTCAGGGGTTAGGCACCATGCAGGGAGGCTGAGGGCCGGGCAGGCCCTAGACTCTGCGCTTAGGTGTCTTGTCTCATCAGCTCTGCCATCTGGGGAAGTGGGTCCTATCATCCCAACTTTGCAGAGGAGGAAATGGACACTCAGAACCCAATAAAACTGGGATGGGGTCTGCTGGAGCCCGAAACCAGGGCTCTTTGCCCCCATAGCATGATTAGGCCAAGAGCAGAAGTGGCTGCTTGCTAATGGCCCAGGGCCTCTATCCTCCTGCACACACTTTGCTTGGCTTGCAACATGTTTTAAAAAAAAATTCACATTAGTGCTAACATTTGAAAATGAGAGACTGCACATAAAAATCTGGATTTCTGGTCTCCCTTGAAAAACAGAAGTGCTAGCGACACTTGGTCCACAGTCCTACATGGCAACATTCCCCACGCTAAACTCTCCCAGCGGTGGAGGAGTATCAGCTCCTCGGAAGGCACTGACGGAAAAGTGAACCGTCTCATCTGCTTATCGGAACAGGAAGGCTACGGGGTGGATGCGCCTTACGCCTGGCATGTTTCACTCATTTACAACACCTGCCGGGCCCTGCTGGGCACCCGAGCCTTCGACCTCTGGGCGAAGGGCTAGGACTTCAAGAGAAGCCTACAGCATTCTCTCAGATCAGTGCTGTAGGGCAGTGCTTCTCAAATTTTAACGTGCACACAAATCCCTAGAGATCTTGTTAAAATGCAATTTTGATTTCTTAGGTCTGGGTTGGGGCCAAAGAGTCTGGATTGCTAATAGGCTCCCGGGGGCTGTGGCCATGGACCTGCCCTTTGAGTAGCAAGGTAAGGTGATAGGGGTCTCCTCCCCCAGATTCTGGTTTGCATGCATAATCCTCAGGGCCTGCCGGCATCCCTCCCCAACATGTGGCCCATCACTCCTGGCATTGGGCACCCTCCATGCTCCCGCCCGGGAATTTACCTGTAGTTCCCGTAGGCACCGCCCTTCTAGGGGGAGACGTGCGTCACCCACACACCAGGCCAGACTGACGTGGAATGAAGGGTCCTGCGGAGGAACAGCAGGGAGGCAGGCGGTCACCTGGATGCCTTGGCCCGTCCAGACGTGACAGGAGGTCTGTGATCCTTGTCACGGTATCCCTGCTGGAGCCCTGGCCTGCTCCAGGAGAGACTAGACCCTCAGTGCTGATCAGTGTCGATCCCAGGCACCCTCCGCAGGTAGAATAGCTCTGGGTTGGCCCCGGCTATGGACTGAATTGTGTCCATAACCTGTCCCCCTCCCCACCTGCCAGATGCCTATGTTGAGGCCTCAACTCCCAATGCAGTGGTATTTGGAGATGGGGCCTCTGGGAGATAATTAGGGTTAGAGGAGCTTATCAAAGCGGGGGCCCTCGTGTTGGGATTCATGGCTGTATAAGAGATGGCAGAAAGCTGGCTTCCTCTCTTTCCACCGTGAGGACACAGTCAGGAAGGGAGTCCGAGCCAGAAACGGACCATGATGGCACCTTGATCTTGGACTTCTAGGCTCCAGAACTGTGAGAAAAGAAATTTCTGCTGTTTAAAGCACTCCATCTAGGGTATTTCGTTATGGTGGACTCAGATGACTAAGACAGTCCTGCTTCCAGAGGCTTTCCCTTAACAGTCATTAAATCTGGGACATGGATGAGAACGCAGGCTCTATTTTCTGATCTAGAACATTTCAACAGATGACATACTTTCTAACATGAAATGAACAAAACCAAAATGTCTAAAATTATGAGTAATAATTTCCACTGAAACTCACACTCCTATGCCTCAGCAAGGCTTTAAAAGAATGTATCAAGCAAAACCAAGGGCCCTTTAAGGACCTGATACTCAGTTTGGAGTGAAATACCCCCGGAGGGCATGGGGCGGAGCGAGGTGCAGGAAGGTTTGGGATGCAGGAAGGTTTGGGAAGCTACCGCTCCTCTTGGTGTGTCAATTTTACTAAAAAAAATTTGGGAGAACTACTACTTCTTAAAAAAGAGATGAACATGGATCCATATGGAGCAGAATGGGTAAATCTTGTGCATACTGAAGATAAAATAAGATTTCTATGAAGCGTCGGACTTCCAATGGGCTGCACCTGACTCCACCACGGCCCCTCTACTCCCCTCTCTCCTGGAGGCCTGTGTCCTCCGAAGGCTGGCGTTCGGGACACTTCACGGGGGCAAGTTCTGGAGGGCTCTTCAGTTTGCCTCTAACAAGGGCTCCTTCGAGGATGGTTTGATTCCACTTTTAGGCGGGCCAATGGAGAGGAAGAGGCTGTTTGTTACCTGGTAGAAAGTGGTGAGGTCAAATTCCTCCATGACTCTGTCTACCTCCGAGACCAGGTCCAGGAACTGGGCGTGCCCAGAGGTGACCTCGAGCCCGACAAAGGTCCTGGGGAAGGCAGAAGTGGAGACAAGGTGAGCATGAGATGCAGCCCCTGAGAACCTAAACCATCTGCCCTGGGGGCAGGGGAGGACAAAGGAAGCAGTCAGGTCAGGGGGCCTTGGTTCTCTCGCTCTCCTGGTTGCCTCGCTTGCCTGCCCTCTGAGCTGGCTCTTTCCTCTGTCCCTAAACCTTCCTTCCCCAGTCCTAACCACACATCTCTCCTCCTTCCCGGGGGGCTTACGACCCTTGAGGAACTTCTTCATGTGCCCCTGCCACGTGTCTACAACCCCCAAGCTTCTGCGGCCCTGCTCTCCAGGGTCGCATGACTCCTGAGTCTGGACTGTTTCTCTCGGGGACGTGGCTCCTGGGCACCCGCCACCCTCCCCTCAGCTCTCAAACACACTCCCTCATCTTTAAAAACCCTCCCGTGAGCCCACATCTTCAGCCAGACACCCTCCTGGTCTCAGTGAAACTTATCAGATGACTTGCCCACTGTCACTATCTCTATTCCCTCACCTCCCAGCTTCAACCCACTCCACTACTTCTGGAACATGCTGGGCTCATTGGCGCCTCACGACTGCCCAGGGATGGACCTATCAAGGGCAGGCGTGTGACAGCGTGGAAATGAGAGGTCACGGAGGTGACAGTATGAGCTAAACGTTCAAGTGGGGACAGAGCTGGGCAGGGGCCCATGGTTTCTTCCAGTGGCAGGCTTTTGTTCACTTCGCTGGGATGTTTTTCTCTACCTCTGCCCCCCTCCCCCCATCTTCCTCTAGTTCTTTTTCTTTTTTTTTTTTTTTTAAAGATTTTATTTATTTATTTGATAGAGAGAGAGACAGCGAGAGAGGGAACACAAGCAGGGGTGTGGGAGAGGGAGAAGCAGGCCTCCTGCTGAGCAGGGAGCCTGATGCGGGGCTCGATCCCAGGACTCTGGGATCATGACCTGAGCCGAAGGCAGACGCTTAACGACTGAGCCACCCAGGCGCCCCTCTAGTTATTTTTCTTAACGAAAGGTTCAGATTTGGGAATAGCTGCTTTTGTAGCCATAGAGTTGTTTAAAACACAAAGAAAAAAAATGGGGCAGACAAGGCTGGAAGCAAAGCACCCTTTCAGTCTTTACTCCAGAGAATCTTCTGGAAGCAACTGGGGGCAGATGGGGGCAGATGGGGAGACTCACCTGGTTTTCTCTTGATTGGTATAAATCTTTACCCGGTTGGCAGTAAAGAAGAATCTGGAATTTAGAAGAGGAAAGACCACGTTTCAGGAAGAATAATAAGAGGAAAAAAATCCAAAAAAAGTTTATATTAAAAAGGAGGATTTTGAAAATACAGTTAACTCACTGCACACTTCATTTTGTTACCCTATTATACAGGTGGTATACCTGAACCCTAAAGTATTAGAGCTGGACAAGGCCTGACATAATCACCCAGTTGCAGTAACACATAGCTTCATTCAGATGCTAGCAAAATTTTTATTAATAGCAGTTCATCCCAATGAACAATTTGAGACTATTTCAATTTTACTGATGGGAACTGAGAAAGTCTTCTTCATCAAGGAGGTGATAACAGATGAACATTTCCCATGTGCCAGGGGCTGAGCTGAGGGCATCCTCATGTGACTCTGTGATGCAGACACTTTAACTATGCCCATTTTACAGACTCGGAAGCTGAGGTTTGGTGAAGTTGAATTTGGTGAGCCACAATCTTAACCTTCAGTCTGTCTGATTCCAAAGCCCTTGCTGTCACCTATGATGCTTTAATGAGGGGAAGTGGGTCTCTGTTGCTGTGGAAATGGGGCAGAAACACCTGCCCACCCAAGTACCCACCCATCCTCAGATCAGTTACACAGGGCCCATCAAGTTCAGTCAGGTAACTGCTTTCATTCTGGCTGGTTCCGGTTTGTGTTCTCTGAGACACTAGGAGATCTCAGAGGGACCAACTTGGCAAATCCCATTGCAGGAAATGATCATTGACGGCCTCTGGGCCAAGGTTCCGTATGATGGAACACAACACCCCAGCATGCTGGGTAGAATCTCACAACTTGTCCAGGGGCTCAGACTCAGTCAAATTGGGCTTCCCTGTCAGTCTTCGGCCTCCTAATGCATCCCTTTTGGGGAAAATGTAAGGGATGACAGAACCAGCAGGAGCTTGGTCAAGTGTCGAGTTTACCCAGAGTTCTGTAAGGGACCTGACAAACATCCTGAAGTGGACACTGGAGGTTTATGCCCAACTGTGAGGGTTAATTTTATGTGTCAACTTGACTGGGCTGAAGGATGCCCAAAGGGCTGGTAAAACATTATCTCTGGGTGTGTTTGTGAGGATGTTTCTGGAAAAGATTGGCATTTGAATTGGTGAACAGCATAAAGCAAATGGCCCTCCCCAATTTGGGTGGGCATCATTCAATCCATTGAGGGCCTGGACAGAACAAAAAGGTGAAGGGCAAGTTGGCACTCCTACTCTCTGCGTGAGCGGAGACATTCATCTTCTCCTGCCCTTGGACACTGGACGTTGACTTTCCTGGTTCTTAGGCTTTTAGGCTCTATTGGGACTTACACCATCAGTCTTCTCCCCCCCCACCCCCATTCTCAGGCTTTTGGACTCAGACTGAATGATACCACTGTCTTTCCTGGTTCCCCAGCTTGAGGATGGCAGATTGTAGGATTTCTCGACTTTCATTACTGTGTGAGCCAATTCCTATAATAAATCTCTCTGTATCTCTATCTCTGTCTCTATTTCTATCCTATTGGTTCTGTTTCTCTGGAGAACCCCAACACAGATTTTGGTACCGAGAGTGGTTCTAAACCAGGATTTTAAGATTGAGTCTTCTGAACTGGTTCTGGAAGCTTCTGGAATTGGCTCTCTGATTAGATTCAAAGATACTACTGACTCTGTTTCTAGTAGTAAAGTGAGCACTGGTAGTCCCCGTGGGAACCGATTATAGAGATGCACTGCATAATCCCAGTCAACCATTTATTAGAAGGAGATAAGTGACTGTATGATACTTTCAAACAATTTGGGGGAAACTATGGAATATAATGACATTGGTTGGTTGCTCTTAATGTCGCTGGACAAAGTGGTAAAAGAAAAACGTGAGCTTGGGGATTCGAATTCCCAATTCAAGCAGCATCAAGGACCTAGGAACCTTTAGATGTGCCCTAAGGGGGAGCCTCCTGCCCCATAGCCTCAGGGCTGTAACTGCAGAAACTCAAAGGCAGAAGCGCATCCTGTGATCCGCTGGAATCACAGCGGTGACAGTTCATCTTTCTCCTAGCCTTCTCAAAAGGGATCTTTGGCCTTTTGCCGGGTAATTGTGCATTAGAGAAAAGGAAATAATCAGGCCTGTTGGGAACTAGCAGATAATGGCTGTGAACTAATTCCAAGAGACCAAAACGTGACTGTGGCCCTCTAGTCAGGGTGGGGGCTCATGGAGGCCAGGTGACCAACGGAGTTTCAGCTTAGTCTCGGTGGGCCCCCACCCTGTGGTTATTTCTCCAGCTCTGAGTGTGTAACTGGGATATGCACCCAGCTGCTGGCAGAACCCCCACATCGCTTCCAACCCACGCAGCAAGGGTGATTATGGTAGGAGAGCCCACCAGAAGCCACCAGAACTGCCGCCACCTAGGAAAGTAGTGAATCAGAAGCAGTACTCTGTCCCTGGAGGGATCGCAGAGATCAGTGTCACCACCGAGGACTCGAAAGACGCAGGGGTGGGGATTCCCACATCTCCACTCTACTCTCGTATCTGGCCTTTGCGGAAGGCAGACGGTCTTGGAGAACGATGGCAGGTTAGAAGCAGTTTAACCAAGAGGTGACTCCAATTGCAGCTGGTGTTCTAGATGTGGTTTTATTGCTCAAGCGGGATCAACATAGCCCCTGGTTCCTGGAATGTGGCTACTGGCCTGGCAAATTCATTTTTCTCCAGCCCCGTCCACGAGGCCCAGGGTTAGTGGGCTTTCAGCAGGCAAGGCCAGCAACACGCTTTCACTGCCCTGCCTCTTGGGTAGATCATCTCCAGCCGTACGCCATCATTTATTTTACAGGGTCTCATCACCTTTTGCTTACACAAGACACTACACTGGCAGGGGAACATCAAGAAAGCCAGCTTGGTGATCTAGGCGCTGCTCTCTGGTCCCACAGAGAGCAAGAGCATGAGCTACATCTGCGCTCCCCAGGGACCATTATCTCTAGCAATGGCCCGTGGGCAAAGTTTACAGAGGTGCCAGCAAGGGACTTGTCCAGTCAAAGGACCACTGCACGCCGAGGAGCCCAGAGCCATGGCTTCCCGCCAGAGGTTTCGTTCTCGCATGGTCTTTGCAGCCCAGATGCATGCAGTGCAATGATAAGTCATTTTTACCAAAGTCAGGTGGCCCCCCACACAGCTGCCATCCCACTTTTACCCAGAGAACAGAGCTGGAAGCTGGTAACTGAAACATCCTCAAGGAAAGGGTTCTGCCAACTGGACTCACAGACGGAGAGCACATTAGCCAAGTCAGACCAATCAAAGTCGTTCCTGTGACTTTTGCTGAAGCTATTAGAAAAGAGGGCTGGCTTCCCAGGCTGGTGGACTGGCAGCCCCAAGTTGCCAGTGGCCTTCTTTGTCTTTGTGAGAAGGAAGCCCACACGGAGAGGCACCGAGCTAAGAGATGGTGAGAGTCAGGTGCCATCTATGGTCACCCCAATCCATTCATGCAGGAAGCCAGTGTGACTTCTGAACTTTTTAGTTATACCAGCCTATGGATTCCCCCTCAGTTTAAGCCACTTTGGGTTGGATCTCTGGTATCTGTGACCAAGGGAGTCCTGACTAATATACATATTGCTCAGTCAATTTGGTAGCAATGATAAAAAAACGGGAATGGTGGGGTGGGATGGGCACTGAATGAGGTGCAGAGATAAGTGTTAGTCCTGATTCTCCGGATGACTGAACTAGAGCAAATCCCTTCCTCTACTGGCCCCAGAAAGGGCTGAACCGAATGGGCAGTTCCCTACCTGGGCAGAGTGCGTCCATGGAATTCTTGGGCCTGAGGCCTCCTGCACTGGGAGTGGGGCTTGCGCTCTGGAAGACTTCCGTTTTTCTCCTACACATCTACACATCCAGGCTTTTGGGTAACACCTCATTTGAAGCAAGGGCTCTGCAAATAAAACCACCACCTGGATGGCTTCTTGGGCTCCTTCTGGAACTAACACTCAAAGGATCCCTCTCTCCTGCTCAATTGTTCAACAAACATCCATTTGATGCCTATAGTCAGCAAAGCATCTGGAGAAGACACGTGGGGTATTCAGAGAGAAGTCGCATTCCTGGGCCTGCGGGTGCTTGGCTCCAAAGGGGCCAAGGACTGGATATGAATGAAATGAGCACGGGGGTATAAACTGCCCCAGCATTGGATGATCCCCAGGACTGAGGAACTCTGGGGGAGATGCCAAATCAGAGAGCCTCAAGGAAGGGGCAGGGCTTTGATCTGGCCAAGTGTAGGAGGAAAGGCACTCTGGTAGGAAGGAGAAGTCCTAGGCTGGCAGACCAAGCCAGAGCCGGGGTCCAGTTCCCATCCTTCGCCAAGCAGGGGCCTGCATGACCTTATTTCACTCTCCAGAGGTCCCCTTGGAGGCGGCTACCATGACCTGCCCGCAGGTAAGGACGCGAGGTTTCCAGAGCTCTGTGGCCTGTCCAAAGTCGCCCAAGACGGGGTATACGGCAGGCAGGTCCAGGAGATGTTTGGTGTTCTAACCTCCAGGTCTGGCCTGCTGGCTGGCGAAGCACACCCCACACCTACACCCCCACAGTAGCTTAGGACAGGAAGAGGAGCCAAGGGGAGGAGAAGAGGGGAGAGGCAGAGGCAGAGCCAGGCACTCACCGTGGGAAGGAGGCCATGCGGTCTTTCAGAGCCTGCACGAACGGGAGGATCCAATGATGCCGCAGCACCACGCTCTGGGACAGGCTGAGGTGGAACGCCTCCATCTGCACCAGCCGGGGGACATAGGTCTGGGCGTGGGACAGCAGCATGTCCAGCAGGTCCAGGAACTCCTCCCTGGTCTCATCTGGAGGGGGAGTGGAGAGGGCGGGCCATTCTCTTAGCCAGGGCCGTGTGGCTGAATGAAGAACCCCAGGAGGCCGAGAAAGGCCTTCGCTACTCGGGATTTGGGGGGAAAATTAGTTTGAGAGCAGTCTAGCTCTATCTATTTTTTTTTTTTAAGATTTTATTTATTTATTTGAGAGAGAGAGAATGAGAGAGAGCACATGAGAGGGGGGAGGGTCAGAGGGAGAAGCAGACTCCCTGCCGAGCAGGGAGCCCGACGCGGGACTCGATCCAGGGACTCCAGGATCATGACCTGAGCCGAAGGCAGTCGCTTAACCAACTGAGCCACCCAGGCGCCCCTGTTTTTAAAGATTTTATTTATTTATTTGAGAGAGAGAATGAAAGAGAGCACAAGAGCGGGGAGGGTCAGAGGAAGAAGCAGGCTCCCCGCTGAGCAGGGAGCCCGACGCGGGACTCGATCCTGGGACTCCAGGATCATGACCTGAGCCGAAGGCAGTCGCTTAACCAACTGAGCCACCCAGGCGCCCCTAGCTCGATCTATTTTAACATGACTTTGTGGTTATAGAAGTAACACACGTATGCTCATTGTAAAGAATTCAAGTAAAAAAAGGAAATATGCCAAGGAGAGAGCAGGGCCCCCCAAATCCTATCACCTAGAGCATCGAGCAGTCTCCAAACTATTGTGATCACCTGGGCCATTAGTCAAACAAACTTGCACGCATATGTGCAACAAACGTGTATTTATTTATAAGTTACAAATGTGCATGTTACAAAATTATGTCCATTGTAAAAGGTACACTCTCGAGAATGGAAATTTTATTTTATTTAATTAATTAATTTATTTAAAGTCTATTTATTTTTTGGTAATCTCCACACCCTATGTGGGGCTCGAACTCCTCACCCCAAGATAGAGTCGCATGCCCTTACGACTGAGCCAGCCAGGCACTCCAAGAACAGAAACTTTAAAAAGATGAGATGGGGTGCCTGGGTGGCTCAGTCATTAAGCGTCTGCCTTCAGCTCAGGTCATGATCCCAGGTCCTGGGATTGAGCCCTCACATCGGGCTCCCTGCTCGGTGGGAAGCCTGCTTCTCCCTCTCCCACTCCACCTGCTTGTGTTCCCTCTCTCGCTGTGTCTCTCTCTGTCAAACAAATAAATAAAATCTCTAAAAAATAAAAAAATTAAAAAAAATTTAAAAGATGAGATAAAAAGGGATATATAAAGAAGTTCTAATACTTTTCTTCCAGATGGATCATCTTGACCTCTCCCCTAGGGGGCATACACCCCACTTCCAAGACTGTCAGAGATGGATGCCTATCTCCCCAGCCTCTTCTCGGTGCATATCCTCGTGTATACATTTTATTTGTTGAAAAAATGAGTGTACCATTCAAACTGTTCTTCCACTGGCTTTTTTCTTTTCTTTCTTTCTTTCTTTCTTTCTTTCTTTCTTTCTTTCTTTCTTTCTTTCTTTCTTTCTCTCTCTCTCTCTTTCTTTCTTTTTCTTTCTTTCTTCCTTCCTTCCTTTTTTTTAAAGATTTTATTTATTTATTGGTCAGAGACAGAGAGAGAGCATGAGCAGGGGGAGCAGCAGGCAGAGGGAGAAGCAGACTCCCCGCGGAGCAGGGAGCCCGATGCGGGGCTCGATCCCAGGACCCTGGGATCATGACCTGAGTCGAAGGCAGACGCTTAACCGACTGAGCCACCCAGGTGTCCCTTCCACTGGCTTTCTTTATGTAACACTACATGTTGGATAGCTTCCTCTCTGTGCAGAGGACAAGCTGATCACAGGTTCACAGTAATCCATAATCACCAACAGCACTTCCTTTATCAGTCAGCTATTAGACGTTTAGAATCTCCTGATAAATGTTTAGAATGCTCCCAATTTTTCACAAAGACGAAGAACACTACAATGACCACCACTGTATGTTCACATATTCTTCTTCTTTTTTTTTTTAACCAGATGTGGGACTGGAGCTGCATGGGTAACGGTCTGCTCACACCAAGTCTATTAGTCAATTTGTTCAAATGCCCTGGTGGGTAGGCAGTATAGAGAATCATTCTCATTCTGTGGATGGGGAATGGAGGCTCTAAGAGTTGACCTGATCGAACACAAAATACTAAGAGCCACCACCTACTCTGTGTATTGTGTTAAGAGCCTGACATAAATGATCTGATTTAATCTTCACAACAGTCCTAGGAGATAGGGATTTCTATAATCCCCATTTTAGAGATAAGGAAACTGAAGCTCTGGGAAGTCCAGTAACTTACTAAAGGGTGCCCAGAGTACTGGCTAGTGAAGTGAGGTCTGACTCCGACGCCTGGGCATTTTTTGCCTGCCACTTACTCATGGGGGCTGGTGGGGGCGGGAGGGGGACCTGCCCCAGCACATCCAGGGCCCTCTCAGGAATAAATTGCCAGCTGCAGCCACACTCCGGGATGGCCTTGACACTGCCCTAGACCCTCCCTTGGTCACCTCCTCATGAGTGGGAAAACATTATACCCAGGGTTAATTAAAAAAATATTTCAGGCAACGAATTCGAAACTTTTTTTTTTTAAAGATTTTTTTTTTTTAATTCATGAGAGACAGAGCGAGAGAGAAAGGCAGAGGGAGAAGCAGGCTCCCAAGGAGCAGGGAGCCCAATGCGGGACTCGATCCCAGGACCCTGAGATCATGACCTGAGCCGAAGGCAGCCGCTTAACCATCTGAGCCACCCAGGCGCCCTCGAAACTTTTTGAAAACAGGTTTACAGAAAAACTCCCCAATTCTTGAAACTCATTCTGTCGCTGCTAAGTCCATCTCTCTCCTACCATCCATGTCAGAGGTTTCTGGCTTGTTCCTCCTGGTTGGGGCCAGCTTCCTCCCATCAAGAGGCACCTATCAGTCTCAGTCACTTGCCCTTTACACGTTACTCACATGGCACATAGACGTGCGTGGCCCAGTTGCCCCGTTCGTGGGGGAAGGTGCGCACCCGGCCCCCATGTTTTTCCCGGTCATCCTCGGGCTCCTCCTCGGTGTCTAGGAACATGTGCAGCACACTGTCGGGTACCGGCAACCGCTGGCTGGGAAGGGGGCTCTGGGCACTGCAAGAGAGAAAGGAAACGAGCACACTTAGCCTCCTGGCATTCTCCACCTCTGCACCCACAGCAAAAGTCGTAACCCCTTATCCAGGGTGACTGTGCACATCAATTTCCCACCAGGGGCTGGAAGCAGCTTTTAGATAACCACAAAGCTCTTTCCCCAGTACTGTCTCACTGGGGTCTCCCCCCAGCCCTAGGAGGCCGACTTTAGCTGGGAGCATGGGAAACAACTGGGCAGGCAGCAGCGTGTGGTTCAGAGGTCACATTCCCTGAACAGTGGACAAGCCTGAACTGGAGTAGTGCTTCCTAGCTTTGGGGTCTTGAGCAGGTCATGTGTACGCTGTGGGCCTCAGGCTCCTCATCTGTAAAGTGCACTTCTACCTGACGGAGCTTGTTGTGAGATCAGCAGAGATACTACTGCTTGAAAGGCACTCTTCAAAGCACCAGGGGTGGCACTTGAGAACCGAAGCTCCACGAAGTGAGACTTCGACCGTTTCGTTCATTGCCGAGTGTCCCAGCCTGGCGCAGAGCGGGTGCTTCCATGAGCATTTACTGGATGGATGAAAACACTCTCCGTATGTGGAAACAGACCTAGGGTGGTGCTGTGGTGCGCGCCAGGAGATCCCGGCGGCGGCCAGCGCTGGAGGCTGGACCCGAGCCCACGTTTCCTGCCTCCTAACCTTGGCCTAGCCAGGTGGGGGCACTCGGGGGCTGTGTCCAGGGCTGTCCTCCGGACCCTCCTTTTCCATTGTGCCCCTCTTCCTTCCCTGGAGAGCCGCTCCGCACCATCGCCCCTTTCCCCCCAGACGCTCGGGTCCCGTCGGGGTGTCGCGCGAACCAGCACCCTCCCCAGAAAGATCTCCTCGCTCCTTACCGCCGGCAGCCTCCAGTCCCCGGCCGCGCCTGGGCCCCGGCCTCGGCCTCAGCCTCATCCTCCGAGCCGCTGCTGCTGTAGCCCACCAGGGGCGCCGCACTCATGGGGCCTCCTCCACGACTGCAGTCGGTATCCGCGAGCGATCGCACCCGGAATTCCGCCGTGCCGGAAGTGCCCTCCCGGGGGCGGGGCCCGGAGAAGCACCGCCTCGGGGCGGAGCCTGAAGGGGCGGGGCCCCGCCGGACTCGGGCGGGACTCTACGCCCAGACCACGCTGCCTGCCAGCTCGCAGCGCCTTGACGGCTACCTGGAGCCTCCCGGAATCCCACCCCTAGCCTCTGTGTGCCCATTTCACAGATCGCTCTGGGCCCTGACCTCTCTGTTCCCTCCTCTGTCAGCATCCATCCGAGACCAGACCTCCTAGCCACGGACGGTCCCTGGGTCAGCGGTCAGCGCCCTAGACCCAGCGGAGATCCCTGCCCTCGAGGCCCGGACGGGATCAGAGGTCCGGGAGCCCCCTCCTCAAGCCGGTCCAGAGCCCGAGCTCCAGGGGCCCGTCTCCTAAGAGCAAGCTGAGCAGTCAGAAGCGGGTCAGTTCCAGAAGATCAGAGGGTCTAGGAGGCCCCTCCTCTCAAGCGCGGGCGTCGGGTCGCAGGTCGGGTCGCGGGAGCCCCCTCCCCCAAGGCCGAGCAGGTTGGTCGGAAGCCGGGCGCCCTCCCTGGGTCCGCTGAGGCGTGCAGGTCAGGCAACTGGAGAGCCACCCCGCACGCCCGACTGTCCGACCCGGCCCGGCCGCGGGGTCCCCGGCAGGGGGCGGCCTCGCTCCGTGCCGCCCGCTCCTCCCGCAGCCGCCGCCGCCCCGGCTGCCGCTCCTCCCCCGGCCCCGCCTCCCTGGCCCCCGCGCCGCCCGCCTGTCCGCCGGTCTCTGCAAGGCCGTCGGTCCGTCCGCCCGCCCTCCCGGCGCTCCGCCGCCCTGGCCCCGCTATCCCGGCCACGCACGTCGCTTCCTCGGTTCCGGCCGCCGCTAGCCCGTTCCCCGCCCCCGGGCCGGCCGCCGCCGCTACTCGAGGCCGGGGATTGGCAGTGCGCGTAGGCCGCGCCGCCGCCGCCGGAGCCGGAATAAAGGGGCGGCCGAGAGAGCAGCCGGTCGCCACTCGCCCCGCGCCTGACCCCGCGGGCGGCCTGGAGCAGGTGAGCGGCGGGGCGCCCGGGGCTGCGTCTGGGGGCCACTCCCGCGCCCGCCGCACCCCTTCCCCAGCCGGCCCGCCCGCCACCACCACCACCTCCCCCCCCTTCCACCTCCCGCCCGACCCGGCGGCCTCCTGAGCTCTGGGGCGGCCCCAGGCCAGCCGGGGCGCGTAGCTACTAACCGGGCCCAGCCTGCGGCCCTGGGGCCTTCCTCGGGCCCAATCGCCCGCGGGGCCGGCGCTCTGGCCCGTAGCGGCCTGGCCGTTCCTGGTGAGGGCTGACAGGAGGCAGCCCAGCCGGGCTGGCGGGCAGTGCCGGCGGGGAGGTGATCGCCTTTCATTCGGGTTCCCAGGGAGGAGGAAGGGCTGGCGTGGGGCGCAGGTGGGGGCCTCCCTTTGCCTCCGTTACCCTAGTCTCTCCTCTTTGCGGAATGATCAGAGAGGCCTCCGGGTCGCACCTTCCTGGAAGTGGGCAGGGGTGGGCAGCTGAGCTGGGGGCCCAGGATGCGGGACCCTGGTTCTGGCAGCCATTCATGCCGGAAAAAAAAAAAAATTCATCTGGGTTGGCTCATCCGGACCTAGACTGCGCTCAGAGTAGCCCCTCTTCCCTCTTTCCTGGGGAGGCTTCCTACCTGCTTGTTCATGCAACCTGCTGCGTCCACCACAAGCAGCGGCTCCTTTCCTTCTTTCCTACCCGGAAGATGCTGTGGGTGACAGTTTTTCACCTGACTCTTAGGTTTCTTTGGCAGAACAGTTAGAGGCAGGGCTGGCCTGTGAAGGCATCCCCTTTTTTTCTCCTCTTTCCCTCAGGAGAAAACTTAGAAACTTTTCAATGTTTGAGGCAGAGGAGCTGGAAACCTGAAAGTGGGTTGCATGTAATTCTAAAAGTTCCTCCCTCTCGCTCTCATTACCTTCTGCTGCCACAAAGTGGTGAGTTAGAGATTTGCCTGGGCTGGGTGGTCTTTCCCTTCCATGGATTACCCAAAATGTTAGAGACTTGGAGCAAGGGAATGGGGTTGCCTCTGGAAAGGTTGTCTTTTCCAGGTTGTCCTGGGAAGAGGAGAAATGCTCTGTGCTTAGCATGCTACTTCCCACATTGCCGAGGCAAACTCCCGATTGCCCACTTTTTCCTGCGGGCCTTGGCACTGTCAGATTCAGAGGATTTAGGAGTTTTGGGTGCTCTGGGAGATAACCACAGCGGGGATGTTCTGCTGTGGAGCCCTCCAGGCTGGGTGGGTCTATGGACCTATCATCGTTACCCCATCATATATTGGCTCAGGTCTCTAACTGTTGGGTGGAGGAAGAACAGGCACGTGGTCAGGATAGAGGGCCTAGGGGATAGTTGACAGGGATGTGGGTCAGCCCCTCACAAAATCAGTTTTTTGAGATGGTCCTCGGTTCCTGTAGTTGTTTTAAATATTGGCTGCCTGAGGCCGTTTGCTCTTGGACCCTCAGGTCTGGGAGGCCTGGTTCTCGGTCTCAGCAGGCTGTTACCCTGAGCAGGGATGTCCTGGGTTGAGATTCAGGGCAGCCAGGGGAAAGGAGCTCGAAGGCCTCGGGGCGTCCTCCACCAGTGCCTCTCTGCTTTTATCTAATAACATATTGGGCTTCCAAGTAAGAATTTTGTTTACAAAAAAAGTTACGCTGCTGAAATCGGTTTGGACGCCATGGGCCTCCCTCTTCCTTTGGAGCATGAGCAGAATTTATGACTTCTTTGTATTATGCGCAGATCATCCCAGACCCTTATCTGTGAGACAGCTGGCTACAGAGGGCTGGCGGTAGGCTGGGGAGCCCGGAGGCTCTCTTTGCTGGAGGGGCTGAGCCGCCAGCAGACTTCTTTGGTCATGTGTGAAGAGAGCGGGTCTTCCAGCCCTGAACCCCTCTCTCTTCCCTGATGTGGCAGCAGTGTGGCGAGTGTGCACCGAACGGGGAGAGGGGCCCAGGGACCAGCCGCGGATCTCGGCGTCAAGCTGACCCTTTTTCTCTTCCCTCCAGAACCAGTCATCGGGGAAGGCAGAGCCCCTCTGGCCTCGCCCCCCGGCACCCTGCCCTCGAGAGCCCCGCGGCCCGTAGGCAGAGCCTGGCAGTCCGTCTTGGTTAATGCCGCCGGCCGTCTGACCAGTCCCCCTTGTGTGCCTCCTCTGAGGTTTTTGCCCATCCCTGATCCTGGGCAGCTTCTCTCTCTGGGCTGGATCACCTTCGGCGGGAAACTGAAGCCCTTACTCTCCAAGCCCTGTTTCGTCTTCCCAAGCATGTCAGAAAGCTGGCAGCAGCCCCCGCAGACGCAGCCCCAGCACCACGCCGAGCCACCACCCGCCCTGGCCGAGCACGCGCTGCCCCCGGGCTCGGCTGAGAACCCCCTGGGCTGTGCCGTCTACGGCATCCTCCTGCAGCCGGACCCGGGCCTCCAGCCCCCGCAGCACGCGCCCCTGCCGGCGGCCGGCGAGCCGGGCCCCAAGTGCGGCGTGTGTGGTCACGACCTGGCGCACCTGTCCAGCCCGCACGAGCACCAGTGCCTGGCGGGCCACGACCGCTCCTTCCAGTGCACGCAGTGTCTCAAGATCTTCCATCAGGCCACAGACCTGCTGGAACACCAGTGTGTGCAGGCCGAACAGAAGCCTTTCGTCTGCGGCGTCTGCAAGATGGGCTTCTCGCTGCTCACCTCGCTGGCGCAGCACCACAGCGCGCACAGCGGCGCCAGCGGCCTGGTGAAATGCTCCATTTGCGAGAAGACCTACAAGCCGGCCGAGGCGGCCGAGCCGGCAGCCACCGCCGCCGCCGCCGCCGCCGCTGCGGCCACCTCCCTGCCCCCGGCCCCCGCGCCGCCGCCGCCGCCGCCGCCCCCGCCGCCGCCGCCGGCCGTGGCCCCCGCGGAGCAGGCAGACAAGCCGTACAGCTGCCCCATCTGCCAGAAGCCCTTCAAGCACCTGTCGGAGCTGTCGCGGCACGAGCGCATCCACACCGGGGAGAAGCCGTACAAGTGCACGCTGTGTGACAAGAGCTTCAGCCAGTCCTCGCACCTGGTGCACCACAAGCGCACGCACAGCTCCGAGCGGCCGTACAAGTGCGCGGTCTGCGAGAAGACCTTCAAGCACCGCTCGCACCTGGTGCGCCACATGTACGCGCACTCGGGCGAGCACCACCTGTTCCGCTGCAACGTGTGCGAGCTGCACTTCAAGGAGTCCTCGGAGCTGCTGCAGCACCCGTGCACGCCGAGCGGGGAGCGGCCGTTCCGCTGCGGCGAGTGCCAGAAGGCCTTCAAGCGCCCGTCGGACCTGCGGCAGCACGAGCGCACGCACAGCGCCGAGCGGCCCTTCAAGTGCGACCTGTGCCCCATGGGCTTCAAGCAGCAGTACGCGCTCATGCGGCACCGGCGCACGCACAAGCCCGAGGAGCCCTTCAAGTGCGGCCTCTGCGAGAAGGGCTTCGGGCAGCCCAGCCACCTGCTCTACCACCAGCACGTGCACACCCTCGAGACCCTCTTCAAGTGCCCCGTGTGCCAGAAGGGCTTCGACCAGTCGGCCGAGCTGCTGCGGCACAAGTGCCTGCCCGGCGCGGCCGAGCGGCCCTTCAAGTGCCCCGTGTGCACCAAGGCCTACAAGCGGGCGTCGGCCCTGCAGAAGCACCAGCTGGCGCACTGCTCGGCCGCCGAGAAGCCCCTGCGCTGCACCCTGTGTGAGCGCCGCTTCTTCTCGTCCTCGGAGTTCGTGCAGCACCGCTGCGACCCGGCGCGCGAGAAGCCGCTCAAGTGCCCGGACTGCGAGAAGCGCTTCAAGTACGCGTCAGACCTGCAGCGGCACCGGCGGGTGCACACGGGCGAGAAGCCCTACAAGTGCCCCAGCTGTGACAAGGCCTTCAAGCAGCGCGAGCATCTCAACAAGCACCAGGGCGTGCACGCCCGCGAGCAGCAGTTCAAGTGCGTGTGGTGCGGCGAGCGCTTCCTGGACGTGGCCCTGCTGCAGGAGCACAGCGCCCAGCACAGCGCCGCCGCGGCCGCCACCGAGGGCGCCTACCAGGTGGCCGCCTGCCTGCCCTGAGTGCCGCCCTCAGTGCGGCCCTGAGTGCGCGCCTCCGAGCGGTCCCCACCGGGCCCTCCCCCGCCCGGCTGGGCGGTCTGAGGACCGAGGGCGCCGGGGCGGCCGCGGGGTGGGGCTGGGGGTGCCTGGCGCTCCCCATACCGGCCTGGAGGGAGGGGGTGGGGGGAGCCGGATCGCTGTGGCCGGCCCTGATCCCACAAACCTCTTTCCCATTACAGGATTCCTTTACTTGAGAGCCATCAGCCTCCCTTGTCTCTGGGGGCCCGGAACCAGGCTGGAAGTCAAGTGGCCTCCCTCGACCCCAAGGAGGGATTGTTGCCAGCCCTACCTTCCCAAACTTTTCAGCCTAATTAGAAACCAGATAGGTTAGGAAAGAGGATGGTCATGGTCGGGCCTGGGAGAAGGGCTGGATCCCACAGGTGGGCTGGATGTAGGGCATCTTCCTTCAGGTCGCCGTTTGAGGGAGCAGGCCAGCTTTGTGATGTAGTCCTGGGGACCAGGAGGGCAGCCGGTGAGCCTGAGCCGCAGGCCTCTCTGTCTGCTCCAGGTGGGGGCGGTGTGGCCTCCCGGCTTCCCCCAGGGAGACATGCAGGACGGCTGCACATCTGTGAGCTGGGTGTGCCTGCAGAGAATCGGCCCCGCTAGAAGGGAGGAGGCAGAGAAGCTCTCCCGTGACACACTCAGCCAGGGACAGTGCCCTCCACAGGGAAGGGAGGAAAGGCGGCTTTTGTTCTGAGGCCCAATCCTGCTGTTCGGAAAGTGCCCCTCCTACCTTTGCAGCATGGTTCCAAGCTCTGGGGAATGTGTTCTCGGCCAGACGAACTACTGATGAGAAAGAAGGGGACTGTTAGACCACCTTGGTGCCTGGGAGGAAGCAGGGCCAAGTCCACGGTCTTACCAGTGTCCTCCCCCTTGAACGTGTGAACCAAAGTGTCAAGGGCATGGCTCCAAACGGCTTGCGCCAGCTCTCCTTCAGGGCCAAGACCGGGCCTGGCACCCAGGGTGGGGGTGGGGGTGTGAAAGGACTCTGACTCCACAGTGCTCTCCCAGCCCCTGGGAACCTTCCCCGTCGGTCTGGCTCCTGGCCTGGACCCCGGGGGTCTTGTGCTGCCAAGATGCCCTGGACATTATCCAGTGACTTCCAAGGCCAGAGATTCTGGGGTCCCCCCGGGGTCCCTGTAGGTCTCTGCCTGCCCACCGGGGCTCATGGAGTCAAGGGTGTCCAGGGCAATAGGGAGCAGGCCAGGGCAGAGGGTTGTTAAGGGAGCTGGTAGGTGCCTGGAGTTGACTGAGATCACTGGCCAGTGGGGGCCCTCCTGGGGAAGCCCGAAGGACCTTTATTATCAAAATGATTCTTGTGAACCCAGCTGTGTCCCTGCCCTGCCCTCTTCCAGCCCTCCTTGGGCGTGGGTCTGGAAAGACTTTTAATCAGTGCTTGCACCAAGGGCCCAGAGGAGCAGGGAGGCCCGCCTTGTCTCGCTCCCACCTTGAGAAGGCTGAACAGCCCACATCCGCCTCCTCTATGGGACCAGGCTCCCTTCCTGTGCCTGCAGAGAGGGGCCGGTCCTTCCCCTCGGTGCTGGCTCTCAGTCACAATGCCTCAAAAGACATGGAACCCAGGCCGACAACAGGCCCAACTGCAAAATTTTCCCTTTCCTTTTGCTTTCTAAAAGCAGTTGTTATACTGTTCATAACATTGTATAGTTTAATTTCACATCATTTTGGATCTTATATAAAAATGTGAAAATTTGGATTTTTAAAAAGAATGACTCCATTTTAGATAGCCCCTTTTGATGTTAATATATAGTGAGTCCAATGTATGCTTTAGAAGTAAAGACATTGACCATCACAGACCAAAGCTCTGCTTGTTCTGGTCATTCTTCCCCTGGGGGATGATGGGGCATGGAGAGAGAGACAGAGGGGTGCAGGCTCGGGTGGCAGGCTTGGGATTGGGACATGAGGCTGGGTTCGAATCCTGAGTTTTGAATGTTCTGGTCATGTGACTTTGGGCAAGTCACTCAACCTCTTTGGGACTCCGTTGCCTCCCTTGCCTTGCTTAGTTGCTGTGAGGATTCATGACGTCCCATATGGAGGCCCTGGGCTTGGGGGGAGAGCTGTGAAGGTGCTGACAGTCCTCGGGGCCCTAAGGGATAGGCTTGCGGCCTCCTGACCTGCTGGAGGTCTAACTGCAGCCCCGGCGGAGGGAGCTGGGCTGGGAGGGACACGCAGCTTGTGGATGGTAAGAAGCCCTGGGAGCCCGGCCTGGTAAGCATGAGTGCTTGCTCCGCCCCCGTGGGAAACCAGGGCTTGCCTGAAGCAGCAGTGGCCCCAGCCAGGTGCCCTGCCGCAGAGGGCTGCCTGCTCTCAGCCCACTTGTACTCACCCCATCCTGTGGCCATCCATCTGCGTGTCCAGCCAGCTGCCTCCCTCCTTGGCCTTCCAACCCACCTTTCTGTTCCCTGCCCCAGGCCCCCAGTGGGCCAGCTGTGACTCAGGCTCCTTCCATTTTCTCAAAGGCAGGGGTGGAGGTGGGGAGAGAGGGAGAAACAGCCTCCCCAGGCTAGGGGAGGGTGGTCAGCACCTTGCCCCGGAGGTGGGGGTGGGGAGAGTAGAAAGTCAAGAGGACAAGGAGCTGCCCATGCCACAGGGGGGCTCAAAACTGGGGGCAGACAGCTAGTGGAAAGGCTAAGGAGGACCCCAGAGGTGACCCAGACCCCACACCCCTTACTTCCTCTGTGTGTGCCCCTGGGAGGTCCTCCCTTGAGGAGCCGAGTGGTCCCTTCCTGCAGGTGTCCATTTGTGAGCCGGAGGACGCCCAGGGCCCCTCGTGTCCGTGCCAGGCTTCGATTCTGCCTTCCTTGCTAGCTGAGTGACCTTAGGCAAAACCCACACACCTTGCAGAGACTCCTGGAAAGCACTGGCATGTGTTTGGTGCTTTATAGCTTCAGGTTGCCCTTCCTGAATGTTCGATGGTCTTCGTGTGCGTGGGCAGGAGGAGCCCCGACGGGGCTGAGCTCACACGGAGCCTACAGCGACGTGCTCTTGCTCTGTCTCCATCCTCTTCTTACAAAGCTACCTCCCCCGCCCCGGCCCTCTGCCTCTGGGCTCCAGCCTGCACCCAAAGCAGGGCAGTGAGTGGAGCCTGGATGTTCAGGTTTAAGTCCTAGCCTTTTAATAAAAAGTGACCCCAGGCACTTGTTATCTGCCCCTCTTGGGGGCCTCAGTTCCCTATCTGAAGCAGAGCTCTTGACCCTGATCTCTAAGGGCCCTTAGAGACCTGACACTCTGATTCTGGGAGGGTGACAGGATCAACCTCTGTCCTCTTCCTCTCCCTGCCTCTGCTGGCTTCCAGCCTGCAGTCTTCCTGTGTCAGTCTGGCTTCAGCTGTAAGCAACAGAAACGGCGCAGACAGGCTTGAGCAGCTGACCACACCGCCCACCCACCCGCCCAGGAGCCCCCACAACCTCCTGCGTCCCACGGCTGATGTGAGTCTCCCCCTCGTAGAGCAGAGCATTTTCACCAGGGGACCTGGGACACTGTGATGCAGGGCGTAAACTAATACTACCTCCTTCGGTCTGGGGAATCATGCGCTTTGCCCCAACCACTGACACGTAGGAAGAAGGTGGTACCTTGGGGTGAGCCGTGACAGCGGGACGACAGCCAGAGCTGGGGAGGATCAAGAGACAGAGGCGGACAGAAGCCTCCTGCTTCGGAGCTGGTAATTCGGGAGGGTGAGGGCGCAGTGCAGTGGCCTTTGTGGAGGGTTGGGCATGTTGTGGCCACTCGGGAGAGCAGAACAGTCGGAGGTCAGAGGCTGGAGGGGGCTGCCCTAACGCTTCCCCCTGAATGTTGGGGCTCTCCCCGCCCCCGCCCCGACACCCCATTCATAAGACCTGTCCCCTCTGCCTGCTGGTCAGAGCCTCCTACCAAGAGGGCAGGGCAGGGCAGACGTGAGTTTTCCCTTCGGGCTGACGCTTGAGAAGTCCTGGGGCTGCCCAAGGCCACGCATTTGGTGGTGAAGGAGGCCTGGAATCGGGGAGGCTGGCCTGGTGGGGAACAGACAGAGGGGATGGGTCAGCCCTGGGCTCTGAATGTCCCAGGCCCCCAGCTCCAGCCGCTGAGGCCTGGGGCTCTGGTTCCAACCCACTCTTTGCGGGCCAGGAAGCTGGGCACAATGGCTGGGCCCGGTGCCGGCACCCGGTCCAGCCAGGGGACAGGAAAGCCTTTCACCAGCTGGCAAAGGGGGCGGCTAGCCCTCCGGTGGGCCCTCTACTCATTGAGGGATTAAAGCCGCCAGGCTCTGTCTCCCCATCTGTGCAGAGGCGGCTCCAGGAAGAGCCTAGACCTCCTCAGACGCCTTTGTGGAAGTTTTCTATCTGTCTCCAGTCCTCCATCCTGACCTCCCGCCTCCCTACCTCATTCCCTCCTCCAGAGCAGGCCTCAGTCAGGCCCGCGGGCTGCTCCGGCCTTGGACGTTGGCCCGGGGCCTCCCAGGCTGGGCCAGGCTGGCCTGTGATAAGCTCCACATCCCATCCTCAAACGGGGGATTTCTTTGTTCCTTGAAGGTCATGCCTCCAGGAAAAGCCTTGGCTGCTATTGATTGTCACAAATGTACAAAGATTCCAGGCCCGGAATGCCCAGTCCTCCTCAGGTCCCTGAAAAGGAGGTCAACAGGAGGGGTGGGAATAGGGGGTGCCCGCGGGGGTCTCCCTCTTGCCTGTGTGTGTTTCCCCAACCTAGGTCTGCATTCCTGCCTTTGTTCATCCAGGAGCTGGTGCTGCGGGGCATGCAGCTAAAACTTCAGAGGAGAGAGGTTTGAGGTTTTCATGTATCAAAAGGTAAGGTCAGAAATGTCAAAGCTTCTGATTTTTAGCACAAAAGATTACATGTGAGTCCTCCCTGACCCTCACCTCACCCCTGATCCATCCCTGTTGCCAGTCCCAGGCCCTGGGTGAGGATGTATTTGGTGTGTTACTTTGTCGTGAACACAACTGTTACTT